TCCATATGAAAAGATTCATCTTTTCATCTACTCATTCTCTAGAATATTCCACAATATTCTATATAATTTTCAACAATTTCAAGCATTTAAGTATTTTAAGTTTGGCTTAATTTCTCATTCACTAAATAAAAAATTCCACTTAAACAATCACTTAAATTGGTCGCAACCAATTTCGAATTTTCCAACAATTTCATTAAAACAAACGGAAGAAAGTTGAGAAAACAGAGCCATTTGGGTCTTTAGGTGTCAAAAGGTTGCCATACTAGGCCTCAGGCAGATCGGCCCAACCTGGTTGACTTGCTTAAGCTGGATGAATTTCGGGTTTGTTTGGAAGGATCTTCTTAATTATTCTCAACAACACATTTTATGGGACGAATAACTCTTACCAACTTAATGAGATAAGTGATTAAATATTGTAACCTAAAGATCTTGATTTCAAGTTCTGCTGGCTTGGATTAAAATGTCATTGAAGAGGTTATTAACTATCAAAATCATGGTTTTAGCTATATATGTAGACCAGATGTGATTTCAGAGACATACTGGTTAAAAAGTCGGAAAATCGGGTTTAGAAAGGATTTACGAGAGACATCAAATACGTGAACTTATTGAAAACACCGTCTGCTCCAGCCTCCAAAGATTTTGAATTTCCAAGTGAAATTCTTGTTGCTTCTTTGTGCTTAATCAACTTAAGATGACACTAATTGATTCTATATTTCTTTTTGAGTGATCCACCTAATAGAATGTGCAATTTATTTCTAGTAAAGCAAAGTGCCGTCACGCCACTTGCACCTTCATATATACAGAAAGTAGGTGTACTAGAAATGGTACAAGTTTGTCCAGTATGAGCCGTGAAAATTGGTGGCAGTGTTAATTGAAAAGGGACCTTAACAATAAATGGACAAATTTGCAATCTTTTTTCTACATATTCCTCATGCATTATATAATGTTCATCAGCCTCAATAGAAAACAAAGCATCACATTTTGAAGAGAATTTTATTCTGACTCAGGTCGATGGGGGTTTTGTTACGACTTTCTGGGCTTTTGCTCTCCTTCTTGTTAACATTAACCTTCTGCAATGGCAAGAATATGACAGTCAAGATAGTTGGATTCATAGATTGCACTGACTGCATCATTCAAGAATTTGACAGTAACCGAGCATCTTTAGGTGCGTCTTCTTTTCTTTCGTAAACTTCTTTTCATTAGAGTGAATTACTGTAGCGATGAAAGAGGATAGCCTCACGTTAAGACAAACCTCTATAAATCTTGTGTATTCTTGTTTTTATTTTCTTTTTACGAATTTATTGCTCTTCATGATCAAATTAAGATTTCTAATGCGGGTAATTGTTGACAACTAATAGCATTTTTTTCCCCAGGGCTTAGGGTTGCTATCAGTTGCAAGTCCACAAATGGAGAAATGCAGACGATGGGAAATGGTGGTGTCGATCGAGAAGGAAACTTTAACATAACTCTCTCTAATCAGATTTCAGATGATGAAACGACTGTACAAGGATGCTTGGCAAAGCTTCACAGTGCATCAGGTGCACCGTGTCCTATACAAACAGCCCAGGCTGCCTCGATGAAAATCATCAGATCCGAAGATAATGGAACACAAGCAGTAGATGTTACACAGAAGCTAAAATTCTCTCCTGGAACATGCCAATCAGCCTTCTTTTGGCCTTTCATCAGATACAAATTCTTTGGGCAGCCTAATATAACATATGTACCGAAATTGTCACCACCTCCAGGTCCACCAGTCGAGTATGCTCCACCACCATTGCAGGCTCTTCCTCCACCTGCGCCAGCTCCAGTGTCCATAGATCCCTCTTTACCACCCACTCAGTCACTGCCTCCTTTGCCGCCTGCTCAATCACCAACTTCGCCAATTCAATATTCGACTCCACCTTCAGCTCCAGGACCAATTGATCCATCTATACCACCCACTCAATCAGCCCCTCCACCAGTGCATCAGTATTCAGTTCCACCACCAACTCCAGTATGCAAAGATCCATCTTCACCACCCATTCAATCACTCCCACCAACAATTCCTCCAGCCCCAGTAAAAGGATCTTATCCTACTCTTGCGCCTCCACCACCTCCGACATTTGAAAGCCCCATAAGCCCTCCCGTTTCTGCACCACCACTTTCTCCTCCTCCCTATGCTCAGGCACCTCATTCGGCAGCTCCAACAAATAGGAATCCATTTGCACCACATGTTCCCTCCTCCAAGAGGCCAAATGCTCCTCCAAGTCCAATTATAAAAACACCCCTTGCACCTCCAGCACCAAAACTTCAACAACCTTTTACTCCACCCCCAGTTCCCAAATTTGAAAATGCACCACCACCTTCTAAACCAACTTACCAACCAAATCCTCCTAGTATAGCTCCTATTTCTCCAAAGCCACCTCCTTCTCCTATTGAAAAATCATTGCCGCCTTCAAAGACGCCACTTCTTCCCGTCCCAAATTCTCCACCGAGTAACGGACATTCAATTACCATCCCAAGAGCTCCTCCCGTTCCTAAACTTCCCCACATCCCTACTGTTCCTAGGAGGTTTTTCAACCCACCCAAATCAAAATACCTACCTCCCCAACCCTCTCATCATTTGCATTAACTCCTAAGTTGTTTGCCTTCTTAATTATATAGAAATAAATCTACATATGTGCTTTCGTTTTCTATAAATTAATTGATTGTGAGAGTGAAAAATGCACGTGGGAATGTTGTAACATAAAAATAAAGTTATAAAAAACTATTTAATTTTTAGTTTTAACACAAATTAAAAACATCATAATTCAAATTGTAACTTATGTTTTAATTGGTTTAATATTCATGATTGTGATTTTCATTGAGATGGAGAATATGAGAAAACATTACTCGAAAAAAATACTATTTTCCTATATTTTGACAATTCGATAAAGATTCGTTCTTTACCTCCTTATGATCGTGCTTATAGAAAAAGAACAAGCTATGAGCCATATAGATTTTATCTTGGAACTGTGTAATATCGAAAGAATCAACACGATTCTAACTCTCTTCTCTTCTTTATATTATTTATTATTGTATTATATATATTTATATTATTTGTAATTGTTGTGATAATTATAACTTATCTACGCACAAATTATCCATTTTTCCCCCAACAATCTAAAGTCGTGTTCGATGATTTGTATGTAGCAATTCGTGTTGTTTGATTTGTGCGTCAATTATGTGTGACCTTAAACAATGTTTGTAAGATATGAAATCTCTAATTGCGATTTTCCTATGGTGCTCTTTATACTAGCTGAAGATTGTTTGATTCTTTTTTGCTTTAGCTTTGCTCCGCAAAAGAAAACGTGAATTTAGCGGGATTGAATTCAAAAAGTGCTTTTGTATACTCAATAATTTCTATAGTGGCTAAAATAGACAATTAGGCCAGCAACTTAATGGTGCTAGAACAATGATACAAGTTATAACATGTGCACTCCCACTATAATTAAAGTTGATTTGTCAAATGTCATTGAATTTCAGAATTATGGTGATTACAAAATTATCTGCTTTGTCATTTAACATTAATTAAATACTTTAAAAAAATAAATAAATAACTGAATTGCATCCTTAATCTTCCTTTCATCTTAAAATTGGATAAAATTTTGCACATAATTAAAAATCGTTCGAGCTGAACTTTTAGTATTCTAAAATTGGATTTGTTTTTAGTATGTTAATGAAATATCGTTCGAGTCCACTCAGGGCTATTGGGATGAGTACCCGACTGTAAACTTCAGGGTCTCGTGAAATTAGTTTAGGTGAGCGCAAGATGGCTGAAAGCTTTGAGATATGATGATCACACTTGGTAGCTAATTGGTTATTGGCTATTCATTGTTGGCCAGCATGGCCATTGAGGGCATTAACATATGGTTAACAATGAAATTAAAATTTGCTTACTTTATAAATTTCATATACTGTGGTTATAACATGGATGTCCTTCTTGTTCTTTGTCCCCAAATGACCAATTTTACCATGTCACAAAAGTGAGACCGAGCTTCCATGTAAATTCTTTCTTGTTCTTTGTCTTCCCAAATGACCAATTTTACCATGTCACAAAGTGAGACCGAGCTTTCACGTAAATAAAAATTTTGATTAAAAAAAAAACACGAAAAGCACTATTAGGGCACGTCACTTGGATCTCTTAACTTTGAAGAAGGGAAAAACCACTTCACAGATTCATGATACAGGTGTCCTTTTCCTTTTTGTGGAAAATCTCTTTTTTGGAAATATGAAATAAATGAGTTGAAAAAAGACGCTTGAAAAGTCATGCAACAGTTGTCCACATAAATGCTTAACATTTGGCCAAGAATAAATTTTTTTTTTTTATACTCAAGTATCCCAATTTACACTGGACTATGTCCTGGACCATCCATCCCCGGCCCCTCAGCGATGGGTGGAAGTTAATCGATGTATATGCCCAAGTTGACCAGGATCCGTGCACCATTTATACTCCTGACCCTAAGAGAGTCTTCATCCATGGATATTACATCACCAAACTGCTCCACTCACAATTGAGTATTACATCACTCAGCTGCTCCATCCAGAATTCGAACTCCCCACACTGAGGTTGCAAGCCTAACAATGCCAGTCCTTTACCAACTCGAACGTGCCCCGGGGGCCAGGTCAAGAATAAATTTTGTTCCTTACTACTATGGGTTGTGTCCTGAAGAGTCCATTGACATTGTTTTATTAAAAGTGACGATATTCAAAAAAGTGAGGTACACTAAAAAAAAGTGAGAAACGCCAAACTTATGAATGGATTCATGGTGTGAGTGGTTTTCTTCTACATGTTGTCTCATCGTGATTATTTTTCACTTGTATTAACTAAACATAAAACATAATTTCATTTTAAAAACACAACAACTTATAAGCTGGAAGTGATCGAATTTAAAAAAAGTGAAAAAAAATTCAAAAAAACAACAAACACTTACAAAACCTAAAAGTATATCCAAAGATGGTTAGTTTTCTTCTATACGTTAGCTTTTTGTGATTGTGTTTCAATTCCATTACATAATCATGGGGCATTACTTCATTTGAGGAGCACAACACTCTATAAGTTGGAAGTTTCAAAAATTTTAAAAAGTGACAAAATTTAAAAACAATAACAAAAACTCAAATACAAAATGGTTGGAGTTGCATAAAGATCTCATAACAAACAAAAAAGTCTTTAAGTCAATAAATCAATCGAGCTACATAAAGATCTCATAATCAGCTCTTTAATGTCTAACTTAGTTGTGGCAAACAAGTCGAACGGCTTGGGCTCGTCAAATGACCAGTCGAGCGGGCTGACTCGCTAGATGAGCCGAGCTCGTGGGCTCATCTTGGAAAGGTTAATTTTTTATTTTTTATTTTTTAAAAAGGTTTTAAAAAAAAGTGTACGAGCTCGTGAGCCGAAGCTCGGCTCTGCTCGGCTCGGCTCAGCCCACGAGTAATGAGCCAAGAGCTCGGCTCATGACGAGCACGAACCGAGCTCTTGTGCATACGGGCTGAGTCGGTTCGACTCGGCCCATCGCCATCTCTAGTCTAACTCATCAATCTTTGGAGACTTTATCCCTAAGAAGAAGAAGATAATTTAAAATGCAAAATGGCTTTTAGGAAAAAAAAAAAAAATATCCAAGATTGCAAAGGTCATCTTTGGAAATGATTTAATTATTAGACAAGTTGAGCATGTTTCCATTGCCGTCATATATGCAAAATTAGTGGACCTTCCCTATAATTGTAAAAAATTCCATATATCAGAAAACCTTCAAGATCTCTACAAGCTTCTTAGTTTCCACACGAAAAAGCATTTGCACTTACTCTATTCTACAGTAAGAAACACAACATGTGGAGATTTGGGAACATTTAGTCATAAGAGGAAGGAATTGTGATAATGCCGTATACAAAAGGACAAGCACGAAGGGAATTGAGCATGTATCATTCACGGAAAATGAATATTTAAGATCATGCATAAAATACACTCAATCGAAAAGACAAGACATATAATATCTAATATTGGTCTCTTTTCAAGGCGATAAAGAATCTACGAAATCATTTTATTGACTTTTCCGATCTCAAAAAAAGAAAAAAAAAAATATGCGGAGTATCAAATTCACTAAATATATTATGTAACCATTATAGTACTCTGATGTAAAAAGCTAGATGAACCATTATACGAAGATCCCACGTAGCAATTTCTCCATTATCACAACAATGGCGTCCCTTCTACAATAATGTCAGTGTGTCTTAAAGTATCAAGAGGACTGTAATTGTTGGTGGTGGGTGTAGGATAATTGGCTTCATTGCTGGGGCTTGGTAGGAGATTAGGGCCCATCCTCAGAGGACTTTGCTAGAGATTTAGGGTTCGAGGATTTAAGGGTGAAGGATTTCGATTTTGGTGTTGGGGACAATGATTTAGATGCAGGCACCTACAAGGATTTTAGGGTGCACAATCAGGAGGTCTTACTTTTGTTCGACGATGGTACAGCTTTCTAGGAAGATGATTTAGGTACAGTTAATGACGATGGAGAGATGCTTGACAAGGAATTGGTAGTCACTGATCCTGCGACGGCGAGGAAAATGAGTGCAAGAACAAACAATAGAGATGGCAGTGAAACAAAATTAAAATTATTGGTGGTGGGAGTTTTGGCCGGATTTATGGATTCAGATTTGAGGCTTTCTAAGGTTTTCAGGGTTGGGGAGGTTTTGAGAGTTTTAATTACGAGGGTGAAAGTTTTTATAAGTTTTAGGGGCATTGTTACGCCTCGCCATCGAGGCTCAAAGTCAAAGTGTCACGTAGTAGTCCACGTGGGCAGAGAATTAATAGAAAAGTCAACAAAGACCTAAGTTGTCAAAATGCAAAGAAATTATGCAAACTATTGAAGCTCGTATCAAGGCACTACACTTGGGCTAAAATACTGCCTAAAGAAACGAAGAAAGGAGTTGAAATTCTCCACTCAGAGACCAGCTTCGAGGCTTTCAATTCATCTGAGGCCATACGTCGACGTTGTCTCTTACAATATATATGAGTATCTTTTAGAAGTGATTGATGTAACATTTGTAATAAAGGATGTCAGCCTATTGCATAGGACGGCTGACCCCTTATTAATGTATTAATTGTATGAATAGATAACAGTGTGAAACATCAACGAAGGAGATGATATCACGTGGTTCTGATACAACGGACACCACATCAGCCAATTTTCTTTGTAACTTAGAAGGGATTGGAAATTGTGATTCTTATTCTCGGATCTTGAACTCCGAAATGTGGAGTGAGCAAGAAATGTTTACAAACACTTTTACAAGCATTTTTCATCTTTCATTATACATACTTGGTAGATAAATATCCTAATAGACAATCTTACAATTTGCATACACGATTATTTTCTATCATTCTACATATTCTAGTGAGATTTTGGTTAGTGACTTTGGTTCTCGGTTGATGATCATTGTTAGCGTGATCACTTCTGTTTTACCCGTCGGAACTCGAACATCATGTCTTTCGTCCTAAAGCACCTCCCGCATTCAAGTCAGCCTCCTTTCCTATCGTTTCTCCTGTAGACACACGTCGGAATCTGCTTGACTTGACGAGAGTGAGCACGACGTATGTTAGCTCATTTTTGGGGGTCAACAAGCATTATTCTAATTTGTTATTTTTCGAGGGTATTAGATCTAATTACCCCCAAAATATATTCACACCAAGCCCAATCCAGTTCGGGACCCAAAATCCCATATACCACGTGTTCAGCGCGGATTGACACTTCATCAATAATAGCTCTTCTTCTCCACCATACAGCATACATCAAAACAGTCAGCAGTGAGAACTGAGATCTGTTCATCCAAACCCCCAAATCATCCGTCTCTATAACTGATAATTCAACGTAATTTTTCAGATCCTTTAGTAATTTTTTCGCAATCCCAACGAATATGTCTTCAATCTTCAACGGCGATGAAACTGCTCCCTTTTTCGGCTTCCTCGGTGCCGCTTCTGCCCTCGTCTTCTCTTGTAATCCTCAGATCCTTCAAATCCACTTACTGATTTGGTTGTCGATATTTTCTTGATTGATATATTTGTTGTGGATCATTTTTACAGGTATGGGTGCGGCGTATGGAACGGCGAAGAGTGGAGTAGGTGTAGCGTCGATGGGAGTGATGAGGCCGGAGCTGGTGATGAAGTCGATCGTGCCAGTGGTTATGGCTGGAGTGTTGGGTATTTATGGGTTGATTATTGCTGTGATTATCAGCACTGGGATTAACCCCAAGGCAAAGGGTTATTATCTGTTCGATGGCTATGCGCATCTCTCTTCAGGCCTCGCTTGTGGCCTTGCTGGCCTCTCAGCTGGAATGGCAATTGGGATCGTTGGCGATGCTGGCGTCAGGTATAATTGAACTATTGATGGATCTCGTCATCTGTAGTGAATATATTTAAGTTTTATTGGTTTTTTTTCTGTGATTTGGATGCTTTGAATTAGTAAAGATTCTGATGCTAAATCTTTTGGTCAGTGTAGAGGGTAATCTAAAACAGTAGGTGGCTAAGGCCATAGTCCATAGAGTAGTGAAGATCAATCTTGTGGTTGCTGCGTTACTGTGATTGAATTGTTAAACTTAGTTGATTCGCTTTTTTGATGTGATATTATTTACTGATACGTGCAGTGCAATTCAGGAATGATTCTGAATGCTATCAAAACCTGACTACTCCTTTTTAAACATCGCTACGATCTTCTATGTGAGATGTTGATCTTCAAGTTTCTTGATGATAGTTATAAGAATGGTGCCAAACCAATGTAAAACAAAACATTGATTACTTTACGTCCTATAGAGTGAAAAGTAGACTATGAAAAAACGTGTAGGAGAGTGAAGAGGGCATAAAAGGAAACAGGATTGGTGGTCAATGATAGTTGGATTTTTTGTCTGGCATGTTGGATTTTCATGAGTATTTAGAGTTATTTTTAGGTTTTACACTGATTGATATTTTGAGCTGTGTTTATCTTGTCATATGATGTTTTGCTGTAACATAATTATGCTCTGTTCTTGTCTAATAGTATGATCCATCAATAATTTGTTATATGGCCTTGGTAGACTAGTATTAGTCCAATTACTGGTTTAAATGGTAAAAAAAAGTTGTTAATTTACTATTATTTCATTTCGGAAAGTTGGTTGGCTACTGTTAGTCACATTTGAGGTTAGTATTCATTGAATCAAAAACTATTAGAAGTTTTTCCATATCTCAAGTTATAAGTGGTATTTATTCGTTTTTAGATGAATAAGAATATAATTTTGATTGTTATACAGTTTTTGCTTTTTAAAATGAAGTCTAAAAATCATAGGTGAAAATGAGTTGAACTCGTGTTCAAAAATACAAATTTAAAATATGTATAATCTTTCATCTCTTTTCAAATAATAGATATATAACTAAAAAAGTAGTAATAGTTGTCACGTACTACATGGAAGGTTATATAAGCAATAGCTCTAATAATTAACCATGACAAACTATTGAGCTTTATTCTTAATAAATTTGAAAATAGCTTCAGGAATTCTCTTCGGCACTCCTTTTGATTCAAAGTTGCTGCTTGTCAAAGTTCAGAGGAAACCAATTCTTTTGCACAGCGTCTCTTAGTAGCTAATTAATTTTCATTCTCTTGAAGTTCTAAAGTATTCAAGGGTTTGGTAGTGTTGATAATGATGAGCATTTTCCTCCTGGTTGTGCCTTTGAAAATTGTCGGTGAATCAAATTCTTGGTATGTCACAAAGATGTTCTGGAGTTGTATTAGAATATAAATCATATGGATGCCATGTAGTGCTCCGAAATTTATCCAGAAAACGACGTAGCTTCATTTTCTATGTGGCATACATGGCCATGGCCATGGAAGTGGTAACTCTTGTGATTTACCCACTATGACTTATGTCTGTTAAATTATTTCTCGGCAGCTCCCCATTTTTTCACAAATCATCTACTAACCCAAAAAAGGGAAAGGTACGGAAATAGTAATATAGTTGATTGTCATTGCTAATCCTAACTTGTTTACTTCGGTTATCGTTTTTCATGAACTCAGGCGCATCAGGCATGCATTGAAATGTATTCGTTTATATTTGATATTTGCACTATGCTTCATGCTCAGAACCCGTATTTTTGCAGGGCTAATGCACAGCAGCCAAAGCTTTTTGTTGGGATGATCCTCATTCTCATCTTCGCTGAAGCGTTAGCCCTTTATGGTCTAATCGTTGGAATTATTTTGTCTTCACGAGCTGGCCAGTCTAGAGCTGACTGAGGAATTGGCTTTTAACTAGTTAGTTCAACTGCAGTGTTTAACGTTTTGGAGAAATTTGATTCTTGGCAGGCTTCGTAAACTCTTTCATACGCGCCCTATTTATGGCCAAGAATGTTATTTATATTTCTCATCGCATTTCGCCACGGTAGCTTCGTGATGTTTGTAGAATTATTTGAAGTACCCTTTTTTTTCCTGCAGAATAAGAGCTTAAATGCCTGTGGATGTTGGATTAAGTGAGTTTGTTTTTTATTTTTATTTTTTTGGCAATTATGAACCCTGTAGAAATATATTTATTCGAAACTAGCGTGCACCTATATTTTTCGTTCTTTTTAATCTTATATAATTTATGATTTCATGCTTATATGATATAATACCCAGTTTTATGTTTTTTCTAAGTTTGAAATTCTCCAATTGCATGCTTGGTATGCAGCATTCGGCAACAATATACGCACAAAATGAATAAGCTACAAATATGTTAAGTACATTCACAAACTGTAAACTACTATATATATAGAATTATTCTAGTTGTACATCAAGAATTGTACATAAGGGTTTACACTCCCCTCACACGAGGGATCGGACCCATTGAAATAATATTTTTTTATTCAAACGGATCCCACCCCCCATGTGAGAGGGGTG